AGGGCCCCCAGAACAAGTCTTTCCTTCTGTTTTTGTTTTTTACTCAATATATGTTTTGCACGCATTTCCAAGAAAAACCCAACACTCCGTCTTGCTAACATTTACTAACTGTTTGTGTAGATAACAAAAATGCAGCTATTGGAAAATGAAGATCTCACATACACAAACATGACCCTTCCGTGATCCCAAACATGCCAGATAAAGCAACAGGAAACTTTAACCGCAAGCCCTACGCCTCTTTTTTTTTTATAGTATTCCTATACTGCCACATAGATGCCTGGCAATATTTCGGCCTATTTTTGTTTTGTATGTTTTGTACTGATGGCGATACGGGTGTTTTTTTTTTGTTTTTTTTTAAAAGATAATTTGTAAGACAATAGTTAAAACTCTTGAAGCTGACGTTTCCCTAATTATCAATCTGTTGTATTTTTCCACATCCACCTGAAGTCTACCTTCCCTCTGTGGTCGAATGTCGAGGTTGAATCTCACTCTCCTGTCAGCGCTATTCTGTTTATTAAAGACCTAATGTCACCACATGAGCAACAAAGCACAGCTTCGTCTTATTCTTCAAAACTTTCTTTATTCTTGATTGAAGCAGCAGGTGACCATAAAGCAACAAGTTCTGAAATATTTTCAAATGTTTTTAGCTATTGCATGGTAAATCGTACTGTTTTCTTTTTGGGTTTTTTTTTGTTTGTTTTTTTTTTTTTTTTCGGAAAACTGCAGGCGGCGTCAGCTAGACCGGCATCTTCTTTGTTCTCGTCAACATGAGGAGGCTGGATCGTGGGTTTCACCCCCCAAAACAAAGCCTGTCCTAACCCACCCACACCCCACTCAGGGGAACCCAGAGCGAGCGAGGTGACGACTAGAGTGGATCGGCACGGGGTTGTTTACACTCTCTAGACCACACAGACAAGACTCGGTCAAGACGGCATATGTACACCATGTGTGTCTCAATTACAGACGGGGGGCCACCGCCGGACAGCCGCTCAGATAAAAGGGAATGGTGGATCGGGCTCAGGCTTTGTTGTAGAAACGTTAATATATTCCTCCCCGTTTCACGCCGTCCGTTAATGTCCCACAACAAAAAGCTAAAACTTGGATCATCTTTCAGTAAAGACTTCCAGCAGGGCGGCGTTGCAAAGAGAGCGTCCAGAGATGATGGAAAGGTCTGAAATCTCTCCAAGTATTGTTAACTCTACTTGGGTCATAGTTCAGTTTAATCTGAGGGAAAGTTGAAGACCAAAAAAGTCAAATGTGGCTGGAACTGTGTTACTGAGTGAACTGCAGCTTTAGGTGATGATTTTAGGGCTGTGTCCAAGTCTGAGGCTATGAAATGTGGGAATTTTTCCTTTTCCACATCTGACGTATTTGGCATTGTTTTAATAGTGAGAATATGTTTATGTTAAGAGTTCAGAAGGCATGAGCCCACATCAGATTTTCACGGTATGACAACGTTGAGTAAAAATACCACGCTTTTATGCCATCATGGTATTTACACAAGATCTCACTACTTTTCAAGCAAACAAGAACATTATCTTCTATGTGGCTGCTAAAATCGTGTAAGTTATTCGTGATTATAGTTGTATTAATGATGTATTTCCCTCTAACTTGTGGTTATTTCGATTTTGAAACGCAGTCTTGAAATAAAGAACACCTATAATAATAAACCTTTTTGCAATTGTGCTCTTTTTGGAGTAACACAAGATGTTCTTTTAAAACATTGCTACTTCAACAAGACTCCCCCAAGCCAACAGAGGCTTTCAGCAGAGACTAATTTTTCCGAAAGAAGATGGATTTCAAAACCTCAAAATGCAATGATGTTTGCCAAGAGACAGACAAATTTTAATAATCCCTTTAGAGTAATTCTGGAAAGCACAATCAAAATAATTGAAGGATTTTTTTTATTATTGTAACATCTACTTTCACTTTAGATTTATGATGACTGGCAACGTCCAAAATGACACTTAATGGTTTGATAGATGTGTTAACAGTCATAATTTGATCCCAATGCTGCAGTTTAGTCATTTGTGTGTTAAAATGCTACACAATTGTCAGACCATAAGTAACTCAGAGATCCAAAATACACAATTTATTTACAGATGTCATCTACTTCAAATGGGGCAGAGTATTAAGGTCACTTTACATTTTTAAAGAAAGCAGTGAGTATTTTTAGCATGTTTAAAAAAAGTCTGTAAAGGATGAGAAATCAAGTCGGAATGTTTAGATTAAAGTTGAAAAACTAAGTTAAGATTTAAGTCAAAATACTGTGATAGAGGCTTGAGTTAAAATGCCAAAAAACTAAATATGTTTTCAAGAAAAATGATGGCACATGTAGCTTACAGTACACTAAACAGGCACAAATGCAGAGACCAGTGAGAGCTAAAATATAGTGATTACAGCATTTTTTAAATCATTTCCCATAAATAATCTTAACTTTATCATCAGTCTTCAAATGTATCCTAAATTAAGAAAAAAAAAGTTTTTTTTCCAGAACTGCCTCTAATGCACCGTCATATGAAGCCCTGTTATCCAAAGTGTTATGAAAAAGGGCTGATCACATTTTATTACGACCTGAATTTCATGGTTAGCTGGCTAAGTGATCAAACATTATTGAAAAAGCACAAAGTAAAAACGATCAAATTATGGTCAAATACGAGAGACATTAGTGATACTGTGATGAAAACTCACTGACTTGTGGATCCCAAATCAGATTCTGCTTTGGACCTCATATAACCTGAGGTTACAAGACAAACATTTACAAGTTTGTCTTGTAAATGTAGTAAATGCAGCTGAATGGCAGTGTGCAGCAATGACTTGGGGAAGGACGGCGCCACCTTACTCTATGTAGTCATAGAAAATTCTGGTCACTGTCTCAGACTTTTTCACCTCATGGATTTAAAACATAGAAACAGGATGAAGGGACTTACTGGCATTTTGAAATTGTATCTGTTTAAACCCTGAAATAACATGTGAAATATTAAAATAACTTCTTAGTAAGCATAAATCATAATATTGTTTGAACTCTGAACACAACATCGTTTTCACGGATTGCTCTTGGGGCCTGTGGGGGATAACCTGCAGTTAACAAGCATACATGAGTTCAGACACACACCATTTCCAGCCATACTTCCAGCTGGATTCTCATTCAAAAACAACAAAAGAAAACAGCATCTTTAGTGCACAACTTCCAGCAAAACAACAGCACAGGAAATTAATCAAAGTGGACATTTTAAATGGTCCTCAGCTGCAATGTTAACTCCACAGATATAAAGGAAAAAATACATAAAAGTCTGAGCTTTTAAATGCTACTAAATTTGTATTTTCACACTGCATTTTATTTCTTCTTTTTCTTCTAGAGAAAAACAAACAGGAACCCGGAAAACGCCCAGTGAGCCCTGGGAGGTGAGCGCATCCTCCAACCGGACAGACTGACATGCAGCCTCTCGTGTCTCCTGACACTAACACGCTCTCCAGATCGCAGCGTGAGCGACGATCAATCAGAATGCTTGTTTGCCGCTCACAGATTCATCATCTTACTCACTGACTGCAAGTTTTGCTTTGAGGAATCCTCTTTGCTTGCATCGTCACCGACAACCGTTTCCATGTATCCATGTGCAGCAGCGTCAGAGGAGATTTAAAAGCCAGAGCTTACAACATCCCCGCAATATTTGAGGACAGTGAGCCGTGAGGACTGATGTGAAGAACGACAGTAAGATGAAAAGCTGTGGATGTAAGGATATCGTCTAACACTGTAGACTTAGCTTTGTTTATCAGAGGCACAGTTGGTTGAGAAAACTATTTATTTCCAATAAAATGCTTAACTGGGTGAGTCAATTTAGGTAGAATTTTATTTTTCTACCTAAAGTTGTCAAGCTTTAGTTTCAGTAAAGCTTGACAACTTTTTTTTGTTTTGTTTTTCTATAGAGATACACCAATCAGAGATCCAAATCGGATATCCATTGATTGGCTCTGAATGTTGATCGGTAGATCAACTATTTAACGAAGTGTCTTCATATGAATTAAAACTGATAATTCCCATTTTTACTGGTATGTATGCACATCAAACAATAGTGTACTTTAATGGGATTTTTTTTTCTTTTGTTTAAAAGATGAACATAAAGGTTAGCCAATCATGCTTTGATGCAAAAGATGCACAAATCTTCTATCAAAGTGTCTGCAGCACTTGTTTTACATGTTTCATAGTTCATAGTTCAGACCTCGAGGAAAACCGGAAATCAGTAATAGGCCAAAAAATAAGTCTGATCAAAGTAACGCTACTTCTTTATAATAATTTCAATCAGGTTGCTTTAGAAACTATTATTAAAACCAGACATGAAAATATTGTTTCTCAAAATCTGGGCGATTGTAGGGAAAAGTGTGTAAAATAGACTAGACTTCTTGATTGGAAACATCAAGAAAGTGACTTAAAAGAGTTTCTTGTTAGAGCTGCACAAGATACTGAATCACAATTATAACTGAAATATCAGGCCATGCAAAGTCCCAGTCACAACGGACTGGTAGTATGCAATATTTTGTGGTAAGCTCAGGAAGAGTGCTTGATGGAAAACAAACATACTGGTGATGGAAAAGAAAAAGAGTAGAAGTGAAAATATGGGAATGTTGTAATCAACGTCGTAAATTCAGCATAATGACAAAGTGCTGTTTTTATAATATTTCTTTACCTAATAAAATATGCAAGCATTCAATCTCTCCAAAGCACCTCGTCATGCATTACAATGCTAAAAAAAAGAATCAGATTCATGGTTATAATCGTATTAAAGCTTTAGTGATGGGAAACATTATTTTGGACAGGGTTTTTTTTTTCCATTTACTGCTCAAAATTCACAAAAATACCCTTAAAATAGAATAAATAAAAAACGAGATCAAAAGTATGAACTTTAAAAAAAAAAATGGGGGGGGGGACCACAAACCCCAAACTCGAGGGGATGAAGACCAAAGCAGAAAGAGAAAAGCTGAATGGGACAGAAGCGTCTTACCTGGTCCCTCTGGATGCATGGCAGAGAGGTCCGTCGGTGTGACTTACTGTTGGACTGACTGTGTGCCATGTCTGAGGCTATAACTGAACTGGACCTCCTGCGCCTTTTAAATACAGGAATCTCTTCCCTGGCTCCTGTCACGGGGGTGCAGCCCTCCTTGTGTGTCCCTTGTTTAGGCAGGAGCCTGTCAGCATACCTCGCCAGCAGGATGCCCAGCACTCCGACCAGGTACGCCACGTACGGTCTCCAGGCGGCTCGCACTTTGTGCAGCGACAGGAGCGAGATAGTCCTGGCCACGCTGATGAGAACGATCACCGATGTGCCCTGGTTCAGCCGAACTACCATGAGTACTCCCGCGACCGCGCAAAGGAGCACAACCCCGGCCGCTGTGGCGGACAAGAACAGCTGCTCATCTGTCCCGTCCAGAAGAGACCACGCCGCGACTTCGCTCAGGTGGCACAAGGTCAGGAGGGAGAGGAGGGTCTCGATCAGCACCCCGCAGTGGATCAAGTACACGCCGACCCAGAAGAAGGCACATACGAGCGCAAACAGCAACGACAGCGCACTCCAGCAAGTTTGCAACAGCTCGGCTGCGCAGTCTGAAACAAAGTGGAGGGGGGACGGTGAGGGCGAGAGTGTGTTGTCAGCACTGCTGCTGCTGCTGCTGGCCTCAGCTGTCCAGCCTGCGCATTTGACCAGGGCGGCGAGGAAGACGGAGAGCGAGCCCACGCACGCAGCCCTCCGGACCCTCTGGGAACTCCAGAGTTTGTTAAACATCAGCCTGAGCCACGCTTCGCAGTCCGGGTCGCTGCACCGCGGGGTGACGCGTGTTTTCACATACCCATTGCGATCCGGTGCGCCGAAGCCTTTCTTACGAGTGTTGCTCTGCGTACCGGTGGTACTGCAAGCCTCTGTAGACATCGCCATCACTCATGGCCCGATATGAAGTATGAGGAAGTCTATAAAGCATCTATACAGGTGTGGTCAGGGGGGAGGCCAGGGCTTGAGTTAAGTGTGGAAAAAACACTCATAATGTTCGGTGCAAAAATGTTGGGAAACGCATAGGACGCAAACGCACACACGTCTCTCCTTTTACGCATGGATCTGTTTTGTCTTCTCTTTGTTTTCCAGGTGCGGGACGCAGAGCTGCATTTAAAAGGAGCCTGGGTGACAGCAGAGCTCAGAAGCTGTGCTACAGATCTAGGGCATTGCTCCTCTCTGCACGCACGTCCCGCTCGGCCCTCTGCGGCGCGCCTTTTTTCACATTTTCTGTCATTCTCTCTGCTTTCAGACTCCAGGAAACAGCAGCAGGACCTCGGAAAAAGAAAAAAAAAGAAAGAAAGAAAAAAGAAAACATCAACCCCGTTCCGCGACCATCCGGACCATTAATGATCTGTTTGTCCTCCGACTGAAATGAAATGAAATGAAACAGTCCCTCCGGTGCACTTCCGAGGATAAACTCCTTTGCCGGATTTGAGCTGCGAAGAGCGAGTGTCCGCTCGGCGTTTTCTCGATAAAATCCGGAGCGTTTTGTCACCAGCTCTCCAACCAGCCGCGAGTGTCAGCTTATTCACACCCACGAGTTCCAACTTTTTACACAGGGAGCAGCGGTGAAACCCACCAATTCCCCCCTGTGCCAGCCCAGCTGGAGTATTTCTGCAACTGACTGAGGTTTAGTTGTTTTTTTTTCCCTTCTTCTTCGTTTTAGGATACTTTATGTTTTCTTTTTGTGGGCTATGAGATTATAATATGTGCTAATATTTATTTAATACAAAGAAATCTGTGTAAAACATATATGACTTTTTTTATTATTATTATTACTGCAAAGTTTTCTTGTATAATTATAATGTACTGGAGCAGCCACATTTCAGGCCATGTGACATCTTGGTGGGCACATTTTGATTTGTGGCCTTGGTGTAATATTGTTGCAAGGTTGCCAAGGTAAATTTTCCATTTACAACCAGTGCCTTGCAAAAGAAAGAAAAAAAAAAAGACTCATATCCGTTTAAGTTTTTAGCATTTTGTATCATTAATCCGCAAAATTCAGTATTTCATGGGTTTTTTTATGAGATATACTAAAATAAAGTAGTGCATAATGTAAATCAAAAGTAAACATGATGGTTTTCAAATATAGAAAATAAAGACAAAAAAAATCTGAAAGGTGTGTAGTACAATCAATTGCCTTCCAAAGTTTCCTTGCTAGTAAATGGAGTCCAATGGTGTGCAATAAATACAACTGATCTGTGAAGCCCTCAGAGGTTTGTTAGAGAACATCAGTGAACAAACATCATCATGGACGCCAACGAACACGTACGGCTCGGCGGGGATACAGTCGTGAAGAAGCTTAAAGCAGGTTTGGTCATAAAACAATATCCCATTCTTTTAAGATCTACAGATTAATGCTTAGGCCATCACTTAAAAATATAGAGTATACACTGGAGTTAAATGGTGCATCACAAATTTATTGTTGCAATATTTCTTCGTATGATGTGCATAACCCGAAGAACTGCAGGGACGACAATAAGTGCTAGCTAACTTTGTAAGCATACCATACATTCAGGTCATCTACATCTAATTCATGTTTAGTTGCACTTGTCCTTTAATGCACCATAAACATTTCTAGAGGGCAAGGAGATGTTAAGATGATTAAATTATCTAGCAGTGGAATGCTAGTTTTGGGGGTCAGGGACCACAACCACCCACGAATAGCTGAAATTTGTGAATACTGGACACATAGAACTAGCCATTTTAGTTGTTTAAATGCCAAAAATATATCTTATTATGCAATAATGCACAAAGTGGTAAGTGTTGTGGCTCAACCAAAGATCCTAGTATCTACATTCTTCCTTATTTCCGCTCTTGGGTATACAGCCAATTAATAGCTAACAATGTGTCCAGTAGCATAGCATTGTGCCTGGGTATGTCAGTTTCCTAGGATGATTTTGTTTTTTCCCCCAACTATTTTAGGACTCCCCAAAACAAAACAAAGAAATTCAGTTGATAGGCGATTTTTCTGCAAATAATTTGGAGTTAATGAAACCATAAATAGGCCACTACATGGCACAACTGAGAACCTGACAAGACCAGGCTGGCAAGAATAGAAATAGTCAAGCAAGCAGCCTAGAGACACAAAGCAGCTCTGGAGGAGCTGCACAGATCCAAGCCTCAAGAGGGAGTATCCGTTTATAGGACTGCTGTTGGGTATATGCTTCAGAAATGTGACCTGTGTTTAGTAGTGACAAGAAGGAAATCTTTGTTAATAGAAGATTCTTTGACAAGCCTCAGAAACCGTCATTTACAGACTCTCCATACAATCTGACTAAGTTTGAGCTTTACTGCCAAGAAGAATGAGCAGAAGTTTTAGTGTCTAGATGGCTGGCAGAGACACCCCCCGCCCCCCAGAGGGACTTTCTGCTGAAGCTACAGAAAAAAGGCTGATCCATAAAAGTATTCACTAATGGTGAGTAAATGCAAATGCATGGCAGACTTTTCTGATTTTTAATTTATATCAGCTTGGAATCATGTTTGTTCCCCTTCACAATCATGCACTTCCTTGTTGGTATTCCTTCATGTAGAATAAAAAAAATATATATTAAAGTTTGTTTGTAACTTGACTATAAACACTTTTGGCATAACACTTAACATGGTTTGAGATACATTCATATTTAATAAAAAGAAGTAAGCAGAAAACATATATCCACTTTGCATGCAAGCTTGTTTACCACTAGAAATTGCAATAGTAGGGGGTTGCAACTTCAGTCCTGGAGTTCTTCTGTCCCGCACAAAAGGCTGAATTGCCTCCGTAGTATATCAGGAGGTTTTACGTAGACATGTTCATTAAACACTCTTTTGATTCAGGCGAGTTGGACCAAGGATGCATCCAAAGGTTGCAGGACAGTGGAAACATCTGTTCTAACAAGGATCCTTTGGTTACTCCTGAATTCAACTCCAAAGGATCTCCTCTCAGTCCTGTTATTGAAATATTCATCCAATCCTCCCACTCTTGGTGTCACCAATGAAGGGGAGTGAGACTTACATTAATGTTTCAGGTCTGCATAATCATTGGGGTGCATCAATGACGCACATGTGTATTTCCTTAAATGCACACTGATTTTTCTCTGTATTGCATCCTCTCAAATAAAGTGGATACATGATCCATGTAAACACAAACATTTTTAGGTAAGCATAGCCATCTTAATTTACAGCAGCATAGACAAATAAGACATGTATAGACTTGGGGCTGTTTAACATGTGGTCACTTTGAACACACATGGATATAGATTACTTTGCAAGCTGGCAAAGAAACCCATACGAACCTTAACAAAAATCCACCTTCATTTAGACAAAGTATAATTTCACTGTAAAAGAAAACTCATGTTGACCAAAATAGTTTGTTTCCTGCAAAGTTCAGCAAACTCCACATGTTTACAATTGTGATGTTAGGACAGAATATTTTTTTTTTTTTCATGCCCCCTCACCCGCCAAACTCTGGTTGGCATAGCATCTAATGGCTGTGGTGGGGACTTGGCTGCTCCAAATTCTGCATTTAGCTGCCGTTATCTAACAGTGGGAGGTAGAGATTTCTTCCCCCCCCTCCACTTCCCCACGGTCATGGCTTAAGACATTGTTCAACTTAAAACTCATACATTTAAAAACATTCCAGTTAAAATTTATCGATAATTTTTGGTGCGATTTTGATCAAAACAAGCATCCCTAACTGACCAAATGCAAATACTGAAGTTTCCAATGAGAAGTTACGATATACACAGACCTTTTTAATTTTACACATTTTTACCAGGGGCTGTCCAAATTTCATCCAAATCTATAGCATTTTGAAAAAGCAAACAAAAAAAGTCTCCTTCAGAGGTCAGAGAGCTGCTACATCTCTATGCGCCCATCTTCTTCCTCTCCCTGAATCCTCTGTCTACTTCTGCCTATTCGAGCGAGCCGACACAGGTCAGCGTGACTCTGTAGCATATACGAGGCACTGCATATCCTCTGTCAGCTGTGATTAGTGAGAAGCAGGGGGAGGAGAAGAAGTGCTAACAGGGAGCGATAGGAACAGGAGGAGGAAGGATCCCGTCCATCACCCCTCAGCGCATGTTTACCGCTCACCCAACAGTTCTCCCATGGTGCAGTGCATCAACAAAAAAAAAAGACGTCCGTCGGCTCTGAACCCAACCTCTTTTTTTGTCACATACATTTGTCTCTTACCTTATCGGAGCCTGGAGGTAACTTTTCGTTCCCCTCCGGGCGAGGTGAAACAATGTCACTTTATCTAAATGTTTTATTTTCTAGGTGACAGGAACAGAAACATTTCCTCTTGGAAAACTTAAGATAAGAGCGTGACAACAGAAAGAACAAGTTGGAGTCAGCAAAAAGAAAAGCATCAGAGCTGCTGCAAATTTGTTCCCCGTTTTGTTTTTCTTTGTAAAGTCGAATCAAATCCATTGTGTAAAGGGTCAAAGGGTTGTTCTGTTTAGATCTGATGCACACAATGAATTTCAGTGTGTTACAAGATGAAAATTACACAATTTATTAAGCAGAACCGCCTGAATCCAGCCTGTCACAGCTGTCAGTGATTATAAACATTCTTTACGATTCCTCCACTCTGAGTTTGCAGCAGATGAAGCGGAGTGACGACAGTCGTCACTGTGCGCCCGGCGTCTCAAAACAGGCTCATTGTGAAATTTTCTGCCACTCTACAAAACAGGTCCAGAGGCTATTCGGAATTACCCGAAGGAATTTTAACGACCAGGGAATGCACATGTTACCGTCTTACCCTATTAGGCAATGTCGTGGTCCATTGTGAAACAGGAATCTTTTATGAGGGGCAGTTCATCAGACATCTGGTTTTGATGTTGCGCGAGGGGCAATTGTCAGATGTGACCCCGTTCAGACCTGCGCTGGCTTCTGCAGCGGCTGCCGACAGGTCAGACGTGTGTCCTCAGCTCAAAGGCGCATTTCAAAGAGTTGTTCACAATCTAGCCTCATGTACCGTTTCCTCACTGTGTTTATTGCCGTGAGTGGCAAAAGAATTTCTATCCCCTCAACTTTTCCATATTGTGTTAAGATATGACTACAAAATGCAGCATTTTTAAAAGTGTTTACAAATGAGAGACTGACAATTATTGGTTGCATTTGTATTCAGGCCTAAGAGTCAATACTTTGTAGAACAACCGTTTTAGTATTTCTCTGCAAGCGGTGCAAATGTAGAAACTGAAACATTCTTACACATTCCCCTTTTAAGAATAGTTCAAGGTTAGGTTGGGTGGAGGATATTTGTGAATGTCAACTTTCAAAATTTGTCAAAGGTTTTTAATAGGATTTAGGTTTGGACTTTGACTGGGCCATTCTATTGATCTAAACTATTCTCAAGCGATGAGTCAGAAACCCCCAAAATTATCTTTTTTTTTTTTTTTCAGTATGATATGAAAAGGCTGACATTGCTGAACGATTTTGATTTGAATTAAAATGCAGATCATTTAGCGTAAAAGGGAATTACGTCCCTCTTTTGATCTCTTCCTGGTGGTTTTGATTTATCATCAAACATATTTTTTTGTGCATTTTCTCATCTTCTATTCTGCTCTCAATCTATAGCTGGAGCTCAAACTTCTATTCAAGAAATTTGAGAAAGTAATCAATTTGAACAATTAGTTAAAGGCTTGTCAATAAGAGGTGTGCCTTATCAGACCAGAATCACTGATCTAAGCCATCTTGTTGCATCACTATCTGTATGTTTACAGCCATTGATGGCCATGTAATTATAATTATGCCTTACTCTTTTTTTATATTTGGACAATGAAGTGCTCAAGACAATCAAAGTCTGGGTTTAGTTTTATGATATTGTATACATTTATACACTGCGTCATGTTTATCTGCTGCATAAAATGTCAATGGAATGCATTGGTATTTGTGCCATTCATTGGGTATGAATAAGAAATAAGAAAACATTTCTTCTTAGTTTCAAACTTCAGTCAGAAGGGCCCGCAAACAACTTTTCAGCATCTTCAATCTGTGGCAATAGCAGGACCCTTACAGAAACTAAAATGAGATGCAAAGAGTGCACAAAGTCATTAAATGGTATATTTGTACTGTATATTAGATGCAGTGCAACTCAGAGTTGAAGTCATGTGCAACAGAAGGGAAAAAAAAGACTGACTGAATGAAGTGACTGAAACAAGTTTACATTGTGTTTGGCACATGAGTGCAGAGAAGGAGATCCATCACAGAGTGTTTACCGGCCTTCATGGGCAGCATTTGGCTCGTGGTCAAGTTTCCACTAAGGTGCTGTGGACAGACACCCATCCTTGCACACACACACACACACACACACAGACAGAAATGCCACTACCACCATGTACACAGACGTGCACATGTGTGCACAGTTGAATTTGAGCCTGCAGTGGATGAGCCTTCT